TCAGCCGGCCGTGTCTCCACAGGAGGTTGGCCGCATGAAGATCGAGCTGTTCGCTGACGTCGTACCCAAAACTGCGGAGAACTTCAGGTGAGGAGCAGTGGTGTTCCTGCAGCTCGGCACAGACCCAGGCAGGGAAGGGTCTTGGGTGCAGGAATGTCTCTAGGGGGACAGGGACCATGTGCCCCCCAGAACTGCTGTGCCTGCTTTGTTCCTCTCCCTTCTCACCTCACACGCAGAGAAGCAACCGTGCAGCACCTGAAGGGCTCCGATCCCTCTCTGCTTCCTCTGCGGAGCTCCTGCTACGCTCAGTGCGTTCATAGAAGGCAGTACCTTAATGTTATGACAGAGTTCTCCTCGCCCACTGGGTCTCTTGCCAGTGGCTGAGGCATTGGACATCCCACTTCCATGGGAGGGATGGATATACCCTATTTGCTGTGAAACATGGTGCCTGCTCCACATTCACCATCCCCTGCAAACCCTGGTGTTAAATATCTGACCTCCTCAGCTGCAGAGAGCTCAGAGTCTCTTTTGAAATGGAAGAGGTGAGAAGTTACTGCTGGTTCCTGTTTCAACTGGGAATATCCCCAATGCAGTAAGGGGAGTCAGAATCACAGAATTGTTTGTGTTGGAAGGGACCTTAAAGCTCCTCCAGCTCCAATCCCTGCCACGGGCAGGGACACCTTCCACTAGAGCAGGTTGCTCCAAGCCCCTGTGTCCAACCTGGCCTTGAACACTGCCAGGGATGGGGCAGCCACAGCTTCTCTGGGCACCCTGTGCCAGCGCCTCAGCACCCTCACAGGGAGGAGTTTCTGCCCAAGAGCTCATCTCAACCTCCCCTCTGGCAGGTTAAAGCCATTCCCCTTGTCCTGTCCCTACATGTCTTGTACAACAGTCACTGCATGTTTGCTGAATGCAGCCCTCTGTCCTCAGAGTTCAGATGTGCCTCATGCTCTGCTTTTTTGTTTTCCAGGCAGTTTTGTACAGGTGAATTCAGGTAAGTCACTTAAAGTGTCCTTTTGAGTGGCCTATGTAGAGAAAGAGGGCTGAGTGAGTAGGAAGAAGGCTCACTTGAGGCTTTTTCTTACTACACGAGTACAGAATGAAACCTGATGGAACTGTGATGGGCTGGGTCAGTCACAGAGGTGGCAGCCTTTCTGGTTTGGGCATGACTTTGTCCTCAGGTTACTCTAAAAAACTCTCTCTGCAAATCCCACCTGCTTTTGCTGCATATTGCAGTGGGATCCCATAAAAATGATGGTGTGGAATTTGTAGGGAACCAGGTCATTTAATGTGCAGAGCCCACTCGATGTTTCCCTTTGCCTCTGATAGCAGATACTAACATGTCAGCAACCCTCTGGGACTCTGTATTCCTGGGAATGTTTTGTGTTTGGATATCCAGTAAGTTGCAATGATTCTCCTTTTTACTTCTTTGCAGGAAAGATGGTGTCCCTATAGGTTATAAAGGAAGCACTTTCCACAGGTAATTCATCTGCTTTTGTTTGGGCATTTAAATAGCAGTTTGAGTTAGATCTGGCTTTGAGACCTGCCTCAAGGTATTACTGGTCTGGGAGGCATTTGTAGGTCATGGCTAATATTGTCCTTCTGTAGCTTTGAGGGCCTTGGGTTGCCTAATGTACATGTGTACATTAGGATCAAGGTACATATGTCCTACTGTACATGTGTACATTAGGATCAGTGGGAGGGATCCCACATCAGAGATAACTTTCTGGCATCTGTCACCTAATCACTATTGTTGGTTGAACAGCAACACATCCCAAATTGCCTGATAGTGACCAGTAGTTAATATTTGTTGTAGATTTTAGACTCTATCATTTACAGACCCTGATAATTTTCACTGTAATGCCAGGCAGGACTCCTTTTTGCCACATATTAAGCTTTCTTGAGCCATTTGTCTACTGAGAACTAAGTTTTGGTTTACTTCCTTAGGGTAATAAAGGATTTCATGATCCAAGGAGGGGACTTTGTAAACGTACGTACTCTTTGTACTTTTCCTACGTGGTTTTCCAAGCAACTGTTCTGATCACTGGGATATGTTGGCTCTTTTGAGGTACCCAGTAGTAACTGGAGGTTCCCTCATAGCATTGCTGCCATTTACTGCAACAGGCTATAATGTACTTGGAAACAAATCTGGAGTCTTGGGTGAACGTATCTTCTCCTTCCTAAAATATTTCCCGTCTAAAAAAGTGTAGCAGGACAGACAGAGGCTTTTCAAACTTGCAAAGATCTTTTCTTACCTTGTCTTTCCCTCTTCTCCTGCCCTCCCAAGCAAGGAACCCTGCAAATGTCTATTAGCCTTGTGCAGAGAGACCCTAAGTACAGGACCAAGTATCTAGTGCAGGAGATTAAGTCAAAACTGTCTTTTTGTTAGTGAATTGTCTCTAAGTAGAAAAGGCTTTGTGGAGGTCATGCTCTGACTCTGGAATTAGCACTGTATGTGGGGAAGGCTGGAGGACCACAGGGTCTCTTTGCTGTCCTAGGACCCAGTGAAATTATTCCGTTTCTGGAAGTTTTTCAGAACAGGAGGAGGGTGATAAAGCTTTTTTAATACAAAATGTGTAAAACTTGGTTGTGTGAAAGTCACTGGGAGAACTGACTGCACAGTGGGTGGCTCAGCTGCACCAGGCTTCCAGGTACTTGCTAACCCTGGTGCTGCTCAAATGTCCCACTGGGGTTTATTACCGCCTCTGAAGCTCAGCAAGCATCACAGATAGCACCAGGAGTTGTCATTTATAAATTACACTTGTTCCAAAGCCACTTGGGGAGCAAGAATGGTCACATTGACTGCTAAGATAGGGTAAAGATGGGGTATGTGTTCCTGTCTCAGTTCCACAGAGAACAGGAGGAAAAAAAGCAAGGATTAGACAAGCAGAGCAAAAAATGTGGAGCTGCACATGGTATATTACTGGCATCTTATTTTCTTGTTAAGTTTGGCCTAAGAAAGAGCACACACATAAAGCAGAAAGGCAATGAAGGGATGACAGGCTGCAGCAAAGCAGAAGAAATGATGCTGAATTGACAAAGAAAGGGAAAATCAGCCCAGAAATGGAAATCACTGTCAGGATAGCAAGTTAAACTGACTGTGCCAGAGATACCTGCTTGCTTTGCTTCTGCACCCTTCCCTGAAGGGTTTCTCACTGCAGCATCTTTATGGCCATTTTATTGAAGGCATCACACAGGAGTGTCTGCAACGCTGGACCAAAGGGCAGGGTCCTTTCAGCAGTCCCAAAGGTTATGTGTCTTATGTGAACCATGCTCAGGCTTTCGCAGGGTTACAAACTGAGCAGTCAGAGCCTGCATTCTGCAGCTGGTATGGGCTTTACTGCTTTAATTTAGCTGTGTCTTGAGATCTGAGTGCTGGGGCTCGTAGTTAAGTAAAGGATGTCTGGACTTGGTAGAAAGTACAGCAAAAATTAGCAACTCTTTATTTTAGCAACTGCCCTTGCTGCACAGAGATCACTTCCCTGTTCACAGTAGTCACAGAAAAGAAGGTGAAATAAGTAAGCACAGCATCAGCTCACTTCTTCCACACAACCACTTCTGCTTTCCTTATCACACCAGCCCATGCTTCGGCATCCCCTCCCTTTTCCGTGCCAAGTCCAGGTGGGTCCATACCAAGCAATCTAAAGCTTCCATCCCACTCGAGGAGGCTTGGGCTTAATCCTTACCAGCTCTGTGGGTTTCTGTCACCATATGGGTGGCAAATGATGTTCTGTGCAGTTAGAAACCAGTTGCTGTTCCTCTTCAGAAATGAAACATGGAATGTGTTCAGGCTTGTCTGTGTAACAGGCAGCTTCTTTTTGGGCTGAGTTTAACCCTGTTCTTTTGCTTGGGAATTTTAAATGTAATGTTTAAATTGAGTTGATCTGTAGCAGTTGCTACAGAACAAATGCTGTGGTTGACTGGGCACCTCTTTCGTGCAGGGAGATGGCACTGGAGTAGCCAGTATATACAGGGGTCCCTTTGCAGATGAAAACTTCAAGCTGAAACATTCTGCTCCTGGGCTGCTCTCTATGGTGAGTATGAAATAACAACTTTATGAGACTAAAAAGCTTTTGGTACTTTGTGCTCTTTTCCTTAGTGTATAAAGTTATTTCTCAAACAACAGAAATCTCCACCATTGGATACAAGGTCTGAAAGATCTGCTTTGTAACTACTAATCAGAAGGCTACTCACGGGTTAATGTGTTGAGTAACACAAAAGTTCTGATCCTGCAGCATCCTTTCTTTGTTACCTGTTGGAGTGCTGGGACAGGCTTTGTTTGATCAGCCTGTGGCATAGCTTGATTCTTACAGTTTTCAGACGGTGGCAGGTGGTGGTGTTTTCTTCTTCCCTGGTACTGTTATCAAACACTGCCCTCAGCAAGGATGAAACAAAGAGATCTGGGAGGTTCAAAGCCACAGCAATGTTACCATGGTATCTTTTATAACATATGCTTCCTGTTCAGCATTGTAGGAAAAGCTGCTACCGTTGCATGTTGTCTGGTAGGAACAATACCCTGACTTCTGAAATAGAAAGCAAGTGGAGCCAGTGCTTCAGTGGCTTCTTCCCAGGTCTTCCAGCTGCCCTGCCCTTAAAACCACTTGCTTTGGGCATTTACCATTTGGATTAGGTATTCATCCAGTTCAAAACATGGCCTAAAAAGAGGTGTCATGACACAGCTCAGCCACCAGTGTACTGTGGTGTGGGAGGAGGCATCCTCATGGTGTCACCAGCTTTGTGTTCAAGTGCCATGGCACTGGAGTCATTCTGCTGAGCCAAACCATGGTGCATCCCAGCTGGATCCTTCCAAAGCTCGCTAACAATAAGGAAAAGTCCAATGTGACCATATCCTGTGTAGTTCAGCAGCTGCAAAACTTGCCTGGCTTACCTGTCAGCACAGGAACAGGCTTCAGTATCTGCCCTGGTTCCTGGCTTTCAGTTTTCCCCAGGACAATACTGCACCCAGTAAGTACTGGTCACCAAAGAGTTCAGCCTGTTTTCAGGAGCAAGCTGTAGAGCCCACATTTCAGCACAGTCTTGTGCTGAACATGCCTTTGTAGAACGATATTAAAAAGCTGGTCTGGTCAGTGGCATGAGCAGACTTGGTGGTGTGCCACGTTCCAGCACAGGATACCCTCCTGCAGATGTCTATCTTGCTTCCCTTGGTTTGTGTAGCAATAGGCTAAAAATAAGCTAGGTCTAGAGCAACCACTGTTCCCTGTGTGAGATGCGTCTGCCTTCAGTTTTGAGAAGTCTTAAATTGTGCCTTTTTTGTGCTTTGCCATTCTCACCCCCAGGCAAACAGTGGTCCCAGTACCAACGGCTGCCAGTTTTTCATTACATGCTCCAAATGTGACTGGTTGGATGGGAAACATGTTGTGTTTGGTGAGTACCCACCATGAGCCAGGAGCTGTGTGTCTTTCCCCCCTTGTCTGTGCTGGTGGAGGTGTCTGTGCAGGTGCTGAGATGGGTCCCTGCTGAAATGAAATGGGTTTTTTTCCCAGTTTAGCTTTAATCCAGATCAGTTCCTTGACTGGTGTGTCACGTTACTACATAAATCCTTGTGCCAGTGCAGAGGGACAGATAGTGAAGGGATACCTTTCCTCTCCACTGCCAGAAAGGACTGAGCTTTCAGCAGTGTTTAGACAGTAATTCCATGAAACCCCAGCTGCTGACTCTTCACATACTGCCACGTGAGCTGTGGGATTTCAAGGTCAGCCTTTAAGCTGAAGTTCTACTTACTACTTCCTCCAGTTCCTAAGTAACACTGATATTGTTCATGGATGGTTTTGTATCATTACCAAGGTGGTGTTGATAGAGGGAGTTCACGGTGTGTTTTAGCACAGCTGATGGCAGTAGGTCTCAAAATCTACATGGCTACATGTGCCACCCCTGCCATGGGAAAATGCACTTGATCTGTTCTGAACGTGGAAGATGTTTTAGAAGAGATTGTTCCCTTTGTCAATTTAGAGATGGGTAAAAAACCCCGAAGTGCCCAATACACTGCACAGGGCTTTGCTGGGGGAACAAAACCACATGTACCTGTGATGAGTCTGGGGGAGCAAAGGTGAAAAATGGCCTTACTGAAGTGGATGAATTTTCTCATTCTAGGTAAAATTGTTGATGGGCTGTTGGTCATGAGAAAAATTGAAGTAAGTTGAATTCACCTGTTTCTCTGTGAATGTCCACATTGGAGAGTCATGTAGAGGATTAACAAGGGTTGTTCTGTCCTCTCCCGCTGCCTGTTTACAGGATATCAGGGAATACCAGTGCTGATAACTGGTATTACTGATTGTCATCATTCTAGAATAGCAGGAAATCTGTGGAGGCAAAGGCTGTCATAGAAAATGGCTTTAGAAAGGCTCTGCTCCTGTGGTTGCTGGTTGGTCTGTGAGCAGGGATTGTGTTCTGGTGGCTTTATTTGCAATGCTTTGCATTTGTTCAGGAAGCTGAATTAAAAAGCTGTTCCATCAGCAACTCAGACAAGAGTGTAAAGCAGATCACTTCTGTGCCATTGCCTGGGATTATTCAGTGGGTGCTAAATCATCAGTTCTGCTGATCTGTGATCAGCATGTTTAATAGGAGAAATTAAACTCATCTTCTGATGGGCTTTCAGGAGATGAAGATGCTCAGGGGTGGAGGTTGCTACTGATGTTGTGACTGGGTGTCACGGCAGCATGATGAGTAGATTTAACAAACAGCAGAGAGTTCTCCAAGCCAGCTGACACCGACTTCATGGCACAGGCCTGGGATAAGGTGCTCAAGGGCCTCTAGTCTAAATCTAAAGAGCAGGGCAAATACAGAGCTGTTAGGTGCTGAGAAAACACCACGTGTGAGGAGCTGTAACAGCATGATACAATGCACGTGTTGCCAGTCCTCTTCACCAGGAGCACTGGTGGTGTGTGTGCTTTGTGCATCGCTGCAGTGAAGGGCAAGTTCATGGAAAGAAGAGACTCATGAAGGAGCAGTGAGTCCAGCAGAATGAGGGATTCAGGGGGCCTGCTTGTGACTGGCTCATGTGTAGGTTGATTTTCTGTACAATACAGTTTGCCTTTGCTTGTTGCAGCTGTAATTAGTAACTGTATAGATTTAAGCCAGAGCAGTCTCATGATACTGGCTGTATCTCATGAGGAGCTTCCGTGGTTTTGCTCTGTTCCTTCCTTCCCATTCAAAGGAACAGGCTCTGGTCTGTATCCCAAACCTCCGCACACAGATTGTTCATCAGCTTATGGCTGATCCCAAAATGCTTAACAGCGCTTCCATGTCACTCGGAGCTGTGTCCCGATTTCCCTGTTCCTGATGTTGTACAGACATCTCTCAGCCAGTTCTTAAGTACCTGTTGCTCACTGAATTTGTGCCTTCAGAAGTTTTAGTGTTATATCTTTGTTTGTCCCCAGAATGTGCCTACGGGTCCCAATAACAAACCCAAGCTGCCAGTTGTGATCTCTCAGTGTGGGGAAATGTAAAAGCAATGAAACAGAAACATGGTAAGTGTCAGTCTTTGCAGGCACCCAGTGCAGTTGCACTCTGGGCTGCCCTGCTCCTTCCTTTCCTCTTAACTTATTTTCACATTCATTGGAGCCTGCAGAGAGCTGACTCAGCTCAGTGAAACACCAGAAAGTGCTTCTCTAACTGCTCAGTTATTTGCCAGCTCAACTCCCTCAAGTGGCTTCCCTCCGAGCTACACAGACACCAAAGACAGTGCTGGAGGGATAAGATTTTGCAGCTGCAGCCATGGGGAAGGTGGGGTTGTGGGATGGGGTGAAGTTGCCTTGAAGCCTCAGCTTTAGAAACCAGTGG